CTCAATGCTTTATCCATTAACATAAATTAAATGTTGTTTCAATGATATCTTCTTGTTGTAAGTGTTGAATAATAAAATTGACCGGTCTTCATTCTCTTTTGTGCATCCTGAAGGAACTGCCACCATCTTCACTATCAATTATGAGTTCCGGTCTATTTGTACAGTGATTATCAGTGTGACATAGAAGGTATAGACAACATATCAGATGAAGCATTTTAGTCAAATAAGGAGGTAACTACAAAGATGAGGCTTATTATCTTCACGTCACTAGATATCGTCGATGAGCAATAAGTTGAATGAAGTTTATCACTAAACACCAACTTCCTTGATTACTAGAAAGTAATTGGTTGTGTAGATAAGAGAGCCTTATCGAAACTACTCCAACACTGTGGAGCACCTGGATACGTCACCTCCACCACACAAACACTTTACGAGTGACTGAAGTGCAGAGTCGTACCTGAATAGTAACTCTCAGTTAGATTGTTTCAGAACTCTCCCTTATTCTGGAGGTTTACTAGATTGTGAAGAGCAATATTGCTATAATTGAAAGAAATATCGTACTTAAAAGAACCTCCCGTAAATACAAAAGTCAGAATCTTCAATACAAACGTCAAGACATTTCTGTTGTGCAGAGTAAAAACGTGTTGAACCACTATCACCATCATCAGCAGATAAAGATATTTATGAACAGTTGTTTACACAAGATACTTCAGATCCGATGGACACTAACCATCGGCAACAACATACTGTGGCAGAGAACAAACCAATTTCTAGCTGAACAGGAATTTATTAAAGGACTTAGGAGGTTGATTTGAATCACATTATGGAAATCATCAAACTGAGTCATCAGTCAAGCTGCGTATTAGAAATGTAATAGACATTAGATTTTTTGTTAGTAATTTAAAGCACAAATCAAAACAATAAATAGCTCTTGACAACGACTGAAAAGGAGAGTTTAGTATGAAATTATTCAAAGAATCCTGATCTGACGCCCATGTTCCACCAGCTGGAAACGACCTAAGTATACATATTTGCGAGTATGAGGAAGTAATTAAAAGTATTATTGGATGAATAGATAAGTAAGTTGTAAAATAAACGAATAATCGTACATTGTTCATTGTTTATCAAGCAAAATACATAAGTTTTTTCAGATACATAATTATCTGGATATCACTTTTAATGATTGTCTGATTTTGATAAAATTCTCTTTTCTAATTAACAGTAAACAACATTGTTCAGTTTATTTGTCTTACTTTTGAAAGGTCGTCTGATCTCAACTATTCTCTCTTCAGAAAACACAGATTTCATCCTTAAATAATAATGAGAAGAACTTGATTAATTGATGGTTGAACTTAATTTTGAAGATAATGATATCGGTCAAAGAATGTATGCAATATGTATTTGTTTGTACTTTATTCATTCATTGAATGAATTTTGCATAGTTTCTAAATGTTAATTACATTGTTTAATCTTTTATATGATAATTAATATTCACATCATCTTCCTACTTTATTTCATCATTATATATAAGGAATAGAATCAATTCTGTAGTTTCAATGAATATGGTCTCTTTAGATTTGGTTCATGTTGCTTCACTGCTTTTGCTTCTTCATACATCCAAACAAACTGGTATGTTATCAGTATTACTTAAAATGCACTTTAACAAATACACCCTAAAATATTCACGTGTGATCCAGTATACTAACACAATCATATTTGTCATCTCTATCATCTTTAAAACAATTAGTCCCTTTGATAAATTTCGATAATGATATTAGAAGACGAAGATTAACTGGTTGATCATTTAAGTGATATTAATATCAAGGAAAAGACAATGTGTTCATTTGATGTAAATTCCTTGTTTACAAATGTACCTTTAATAAAAACCATTGATATATTATGTGATTACATATCTGAAAACAATTTTCAATCACGTGTACCTGTAAAACTTCTTAAAGATTTACTATTACTATGTACTGACAAAGTTCAGTTCATTTTTGAAGGTGAATACTTTCGTTGATGGATTGATGGAGTTGCTATGGGTAGTCCGCTAGGACCATTACTAGCAGATGTGTTCATGGCACATGTTGAAAATCAGACTGATGAACTAATCGGAAACATGTCACTTTATAAGAGATATGTGGACGATATCTTAGTTGTTTGTTAGAGAAAAGAGGATATGTACCGTTTATTAAATAAACTTAACACTCTCCAAAACCATATTAGTCTCTCATGTGAAGAGGAGGAAAACGATCAGCTTCCCTTCCTAGATATACTTCTGAGTAGACGAGAAGATGGTTCAGTCAAGCGATCTATTTTTAGAAAACCAATATGGACAGGTCAATATCTTAGTTATTATAGTTATTGCCCTGTGCAATACAAACGTGGTTTGATAAGGTGTCTTTTCAACAGACTCGACCGTATTTGTACCAATGACGCCATTGATGATGATGTTAAGTTGTTAAATAAAACGTTAATAGAAAATGGCTATCCTCTAAAATTCATAAATAGATGGAAAGTCCATGGTACTGCGAGACCTACCGTAGCCTCGGTAGACAAAAAGCCTGTCTACATCACCTTACCATTCAGAGGTGATTCAAATAGCCTTTTATTGAAACAACGACTTAAATCAGTCATCAATAAAACCTATTGCGCAGCAAAGGTCATCATCAAAGAAAGAACAAGGTGTATGCTTCATTCCAAACCTAAAGTACATGAAAACGATTGCGTCACATCCCACTGTGTTTACCAATTTAAATGTGTGTGTGGTCACACATACATAGGGAGGAGTAATCGTGATCTCAACATTAGGGTAAGTGAACATGTACCCAAATGGCTTCAAAAACAAATACAATCAAGTGATCCAATAAGAGCAGAAAATAAACATCCATCATCCTCTATTGCTAAACACATAATTGAAACAGGTCACAAGATTGATCTAAATTCAGCTTTTGTAGTGCTGTATAAAAGTGTAAAAGGGCGTATACTAAGGTTTATTGAAGCCTTAGCCATACGAAAATTCAGACCCCCTTTGTGTGTTCAAAAACAGTTTGTTCTTACCTTAAACCTACCCTGGTAATATTGACTTATTATCCAGAGTGATTCACATTAACATTATTATTATTACTCTTATCATTATCCTTATCTCCTCTTACCCCGTTTCCTGTCTACTTGACCTTTTATTTTTTATATATAAATGCTCTTAACAAGTATAGATGTGATCAGATTGTTCGAAATGTATTGCGCTAATATATCACATAGTTCGGATAATCTTCGTCTTCTAATATCATTATCGAAATCTCTATCATCGTCATCATCAGTCTTAAAACATTTCATAAATGTGATGTGTAGTGTGTGCTATTCAATCATTGATCTTCCTGTTTCAAGTATCAATTGTACTATATTGTCATAGTAATAATTGTCCATCAGTCTAAACACAATTACCAACTTTCAATCAATGAAAATATTATTTAATTGTTGCTTTGACGTCATAAATGAATCCACACAAATACCATTTGACTTCTTAATGGAATTTGTATGACACAATTGAAATAACTAATCAAACGATATGAACACAATGTTACAATGAATAAGTAGGTGTTCAGTTCATCAGTTGACCGATAAACGGTTGCAAGTAACTTATGATGAACAACACGTTTGAACGATGATCCATTACAAGTCCTTATTTTGAATAATGTTTCCAAACTTTAAATTCAATAACTGAAGTGATCTGACTCAGTGCACTTGAAAGTGAATGTCATTTCTTGAAAATCAACCGAAGTAATTAATGTAAATAAAAGTAATATATTTGTAGATATCCCAACGAGTAGAAAAATTAGATTTTCTGATGTTTCGTGACTTAGTGTAGGTCGCTTCTTCAGAGCAAATAAATAACCAAATTATTCCAAGTTTAAATAGTACAATGGAACAATGCAAGAATAATATTGGATCAATCAAAAAACAGGTCTGAACAAGTCGATGTCATGTCATTTCGGTCAAAGTGATTCATAAGTGATATGTATGTATGTGAGAACTGTTTAAGGGTGGAAAATAGTGTGACTTATATGGTGAGAAAGGATAGAGTTTAATTTGTAATATGATAGTGTGAAATTGTAAATACGATCAGACTGAATGGTTAGGATAGATAGTCCATGTAGGATGTATGGTAAGACATTCTTTTCTATTGAGAGAAGTAGGATTAAGTATTATATGGAACGCCTCAGCTACCCTCCTTTCTTTGTAATTGGAAAAGCCTTTTTGCAATATTTTGGTATTTTTAAAATCAATTTGGTGGTTTTTGAAAATGGCATGAACTGCTATTGCCGATTTAATTTGAAGTTTGTCCAAATCTACAGGATTGTTAGGAGGTTTCTTTGTGTACCTAATATGTTCTTTGGCTCTAGTCAAGATTACTTAAGATGACTCTCCAATATAGAAGGGATTACAATCGATACAACCAAATTTGTAGATGCAGTTCTGTGTGGACATGAACGGGATTTTATCTTTTAAGCGAACTAAAGTATTTCGAAGTGTGTTCATTGTTTGTCTGTGTTGTTTTAAGATTCTTTGGAGTTTTTCTGTTCTGCCATGACGATATGGTAAAACTGCATCAGCAATCTATGGCATTTCATTCGAATTATTATTGTTATAACTCACTAAACCATCTTGTTTTAATGTACTTCTGATAATCTTCACAGGAAAATTATTAAATTGTAAGATACTAATTACATTCTTTTGTTCTTTATGTTTGTCTTCTTCTAATGTGATGATCTTGTTAGCTCTTTTAAGAAAAGATTTAAGGCTAATGAGATCTTAACACTGAAAGGATGTGCTGAATGGAAGTCAATATATGACATTAACTTGTTCAGACCTGTTTTTTATTGATCACACAATATTCCTGTCTTGCTACGTTTCACTATTTAAACTCGGATTAATTTTAATTTGCTTATTTATTTACTCTAAAGAAGTAACTCACTCTGAGTGACGAAACGTCAGAAAATCTAATTGTTCTAGTTATTGGGATATCTACAAATACATTACTTTTATTTATTGATAACAATCTACTCAATGCTCAATTTATTCGATATAATCAAATCAAATCTTGGTAATGATATCCTGTTACTTATTTCAGATGTTGAGTCGAACCATCTTGAGGATTTAATAAAGACAAATAATGGTTTAAATTTTGTGAATTTAAAAGCAAACATTTCTCGAGAAGAAGGCAAGTGACTGTGGGTTTTCTTTATAATTTTACAGACTATATATTCATACAATGAAACGTTTTCATAACATACACATTGTTATATACTACTTAAATTAAGAATTCCATCCATTTGTTTGTTTCTAAGGACTTCTATTAGATAAATTTATATAAGTGTTCTGTAATGTAATGAATTGAACAAGTCCATTTTTCAATAATACTGATGAACGCTTAATTTGAATCTTGAGTCATAAACGTCATAATAAAACTCAATATCGTGTTTGTGTGTGTGTGTGTGGTTAACCTTTAGGTCGGATGATCAATTTCATACGAACTATTAGAGACTGTAACAGTCAAATAACATCTTTGAAAGGTAATTTGATTATTCAATCTTACATGTTATAATCTTTTACACTACTGAAATATCTAGATTGAAATAAGGTTTGTTTATTAGAATTTGCTTGGTGATACTTGAAAAGGATTCAATTCGTGACAGACTGTAAACATTTGATGAGAATGTGTAAATGCGCACGGTTGGCTTACATGCCGATCTTAGAAATAATGTTAGTTCATACACTTGATTGCCTACAAATGTGCTGCTTGTAACGTTTATCGATGCACCCTTTTTCTTGCTAACTGCGACCAGTATGCTAAATTAAGAATAAAAAATTCCAGTGTGACGACAGTGCCATCTGTAAGATCTGGGGAAATTCTATGTGTTGTTGATGTCTCAATTCCTTTGACCGAATGAATGATAAACTATTTATCTAGCTTGCTAGTATTGTCCATGAATACCACTAGTAGAATGTGTCATTGATGTCGTAATATCAAACCATATTCATCTTATTTTTGTTAAATCACATTATAAATAAGTGGAATATAACACACTCTTATGTTTGAAATGTAACTAGATCACCTTATTCTTCAACCAAGTTACTCTACATGATCGTGTTTATTTCAGATGAAATCAAAAATTTCGATCCAAATGGAATGAAGAATATCGATAAGTGTATGTGACAAAATAACTGAGTTCTTTAATTACATCCATGATTCTAGACATCAACTGCAGAAATAACTATTTGACTGGTGATGCAGCCATTTATGCTTTGTCTCGTAAGAAAAATTATTCTCATCCATTTGTTTCATTTCGATTCAACATTTCATTAATCATGACGTCTATGTTAATTGTTTAGATCGACTGACTAGAGAATCGATTTCATGTGTAAAAGTGGACAAAGTTGAACGTTCGAAGATTTTATTCTTACATAATAAGATTGCAATATGACTGATGCCATTAATTTGGCACCCTGAAGTTTATCTTTGATAACTCGGACAAAATAATACAGATCCTCTGTGACATTAAATACAAATATAACACTATGATAAAATAGTTACTTGTAATGAGAGGCTACTGAAGTTTGTTCTGTTAATGGACAGTCTACATTGAGGTATTAAATGTTGATGTGTACGCACAATATTTCTAATTGTCTCCGTATTATAAATTCTCTTGCATACCATAAATAATCCATCAGATTGAATTGTCTATGCATTTTGGTGGAGTTTTGTTAACTGAGCTGCATGGTTTGGTCATGGAGCTTTCATCGTTCTTCTGAACGACATCATCAACAGCACAAACTTCAGATAGAAGTGAAGTGTCCGAATTTCTCCATGTGTGTTTCACAGCTTGTACTGTCGACCTCGATGTTGATTGGTTCTTATTGACCTTAAATTTATCATTGTTTACTTCTTTGTTTTGGTTGTGTCTCCCATTGGTTTGATTATTGTTCCTATATTTGTGCATGATTTTTCTGATTGGTTGGGAAATTGGATTGATTTCAATATGCTTGTTGATTGATCTGAATGCCAGGCTTCTAAAAATTCTCTGGTGTTTTTGGAATTTCCTTTGTCTAAGATTTCTACATTTTTCCAATAGAATGAGTGTCCGTAGTTATCAACGTGTATTGATATAAGTGAAGAGATATCATGGCATTTGACTGCTAATTGATGTTCATGTAGGCCTACATGAGCTACAAATCTTCCCCACCATTGTGTATGCAATATTGCATGAAGATTGATATGCTTAAGCAAGTTTAAGTTTTATTCTGATGCTGTGAGCAAACACATTGTAGAAGTATTCACTTGTTAGAAAAGCGACAATTGATTTTCGTTAGATATTGAAATCGTTCGTTCACCAACACTTGCCTTAAGGAATCATCGACTATCAGCAGAGGTTTTACTCAACATTCAGACGACATGCTGAGTGCCAAGACTTTAGACCAGTAAAACATTATCAATTGGTTTATTGAAATTTTCAACTCATGGCGAACAAGTATTCGGAACAATTTAAATATTTTGAATATCGGTCCATATGTTCATGTCTAATCAGTTCGCAATATATTCACTCGTCCATCAAACCACATTCAATACTCGCTACTAAAACAGGTATAAATTACTCATAAGCATGCATATTGAAACGAATTTAATTTGCAATCTCCTTTTAATGCTTGTTATAGATATCCAAAAAATGCAGGAAAATTACAGGCGACAATATCGTAAGAAATTTCAATAACCGAATAGTTTTCAACATTTGCAGCACATTGACATACATTAAAGACTGTTTTACATTTTACTATGAAGTGATGAAATAAATATGGAACACCGTCCCGTACAACTTCGGAAATTCTTTGAAACGAATGATGCTGTGTTTTTAATTTTAATGTTTTTAGTATGAATGGTCTAACACTCATCGATTCATGATATCCACTCTCTCCTTTCTTTTCAACTTTGTCATTGACGTACTTTTAGAGATGACACTCTCCTCATCTAAATTTCCAGGGGTTGAACTTCTACCGGGAGGTTCACTTGTTGACTTAGAATATGCTGATGACATAGTTTTATTTGGTGAAGACGCTGACAAAATGCAGTCTTCTGGCCACTCTAAGCAACAATGCAAGCATGTTCGGGATGCGATTCTCTCCCTCGAAATGCAAAATGTTGCTTCAGGATTGGGTTACATCGACACCCGAACTAGTGATAGGGAGTGAAGTAATTGAGCGTGTCGGTCGCTTCACTTATCTTGGAAGTCTCATCAGCCCTTGTGATCTGGTATGTGACGAAATTTCAGCACGGATACAGAAGGCTCGACTAGTATTTACCAACTTGCGTCATTTATGGCGTAGACGAGATAACCGTCTATCAACCAAAAGACGGGTTTACTGTGCAGCAGTACGTCCCGTCCTACTTTATGGCAGTGAAACATGGCCGGTAAGAGTAGAGGATATTCGTAGGTTACTAGTATTCGATCATAGGTGTCTTCGAAACATTGCTCGTATATCATGGGACCATCGAGTAAGTAACACAGTTGTTAGGAAACGGGTTCTAGGTAAGGATGGCAAATCAATTGATGACGTAGTGAAACTTCATCAGTAGAGATGGCTGGGACACGTGTTACCTATGCCCAACCACCGACTGCCTCGACGTGCGATGTTCAATGGTATAGGAGTAGATTGGAAGAAAGCTAAGGGCGGCCAGACCAAAACATGGCACAAGTCCATGAAGTCACTGACAAGTGGAGTGAGTCATATTGGTAGGTGTAGACTTCCTGGTTGGGGACCGCGAGATGATAGCAACCGATGGTTAGAGACCTTGAATGTCATGGCTCAAAATCGTTTGCAATGGCGCAGGTGCATCCACTCTTTGTATTCTCCCAAATTTTAATCTTCTGAATTCTTCATGTCCGTTTATTTTTTCTTTTTCCAAATTTATTTCACTGTATTATACTCTTTAAGTAACATCTCCAAACACTAATCTTTCCGATAACTGTCGATACTCTTATTACCTCTATCACTACGAAATTTGAATGGACCACTGTATCTCTGTGCTAATGTGGTGTGGCAACTTGAACTGATGTACGTACGTACGAAGTTCCACGTTGTTACTGACTGACTGATCAATCAAAAACTTAACAATCTACACATCTCCACTTTGATATTGAGTATTTGTCTACCAGTGAAATTCAGGACCCATATTTTATCCTTCTTGGGATCAGTCGAATAGATAAATGTTGATCTCTATGTTGTTGTTCAAACTGAGGCTCGAATATAGAAATTATTGCTTCAAAATAATACTTTGAAATAAACTATGCTTAAGTTTCAATGAGAACACCAACACTATCAGAAAGTGCGTTCAGCTGACAGAACCGGAAAAAATGAATGTCCTGAGTCGCACATATTTCAATATATCATAATCTAATTTCCAGACAATATCTCAGAAAGCTGCCGTGGAAACAGTGCCCCGTCAAATTCGGTCCGAAATACTATCCATAGGGTGCCGAAAACCATTATTATTGTTATTATTATTATTATCTATTTAAATGTGGTATTTCTGTATCATGTTATAGTTTGATATCTATTCAATATCTCTGATTCTATACAGCGCAAGTATACTTAACTTCACCGGAACTGATTGCATGTTTTCAAAAAAGTGCTAAAGATTATGAAAGTAAGTCTAAATCTTGAATTGTATGCAGGTCATTTCTATCCATGTCAAACATTTGACCACTAATTCTTATGTATTCATGTTGTTTGCCTATCAATAACTACGTTTGTTTAATACTTTACAGACCAAAACATGGTATAAATGGCTGCTGGTCAGTGGTTCAGTAGATAGAATTGTTTCAATTCATTCACAATCTCACTTACGTCTGTCAAGTATATCAGACTGTTTGTCTAGTTCACAACAAGTATTTAGGCGTTATTGATGCATAAACGCAGCTTATATGATTATAATGTAAGAAAATGAATTTCACATATCATCTTTCTAACTTCTACTGCTTGCATTTTACTTCAAAGTCATCATTCCTAACTGATCTACGCAGAACCTAGTGTTTAGTTAGCATCGATGGTTTAGCTGAAACTACATAAAGCCTTGACCATTTTCAAATATTTAAGTGTCAGTATCACCTCTTTTTAATTGTTTGCTGAAACGTATGTAGGTTCTATGCAATACAGGCACATCATGTCAACATATATAACCGAAGGTTTGGTAAGGCATCTTAAATTTACAACAAGAGTTTGCTAGGCGACATTCAAACCTAGAATTTATTCAGTTTATGTGTATTGGTTATTTGAATCTTCCATTGATGTAATAATACCACAACCGATCAGTCTGTTTTGGCAAATGTGCACCATGTACAGATTGCCTCAGTATTGTCACTGAGTTGCAAGTGATTTTAGTAGACATGGATGGTGGCTAGTAGAAACTCGAAGTGAACAATAAACCTAGGATACAAAGATATCCAATTGAGAAGTCTCTCATTCCTCAGTTAGACACCATACATCTTTGCTGATAATTTATTTCCTCCAAATCAATATGGTCTTAGGTAAAAATGAAACAGTTGATCAACCTGAATATTAAACTAGTGAAGTGAATAGTCTTTTATTATTTATTTTATTAACTAATTAGAAATGAAGACGGATCATAGTGAAGCAATTTGTAATAGGCTGATACCATACAAAACAAAAGGTAATTTTATTTAAACTATCTCTATTGATAATCAATGAATATGACAGACATAACCTGACATTTCTTACCGAAACTCATACTCGCCACTACTTTCTATTTATTTACAAACGTGTATTCTAAAATATCTACTTGCCTTTCTTTAGTAAGCTGAACTGAATTTCCCTCAATCAGGAAACCATAGTACTGTCTATTGCCTGTTTGGCAATAACTTAAAGTAATCAGGTATCGAAATGAGACAGAAGCTTTATCAACTCTGATAGCATTGCAGCTCAAAATGAATAACAACGGCTATAGTACTCATGAAGGAAGTATTTCATGTTACAGCACAAATCAAGTCAATGGAATCAAAGACGAAATCACTATTTTGATTTCAAGGACTAAATATTCACAATCACATTGACAATTCAGTGAGAATATGGGGAAATGGTAAAGAGATCAATGTGACTCTTTGTTGTTTTTTCACAGTCCATTTAGTCCTTATATTCGGTGGTCTGCATTATTTCGATGCTTAGAACACCTTGAATGATATCATCAAATAAACAATATTTCTGATTGTTTTCCTCATCGGAATTATGTTGTCTTTTACAGGTATAAGAGAAATAGATCAAATTATTCGTTGGAAATATTATGATGTTGAAGAATTGAACATTAAATTCTGTAAGATAAAACATTTGAATATTTTTCTATGGATTTATCAAGTAATTGTGTCAGGTCCATATGTAATTGATTAAACAATGGTTATCCATAAACTCTAGTACTAGGCATAATATCTGCAAAGCTTCATCAAGACATTGATGCCATAAATAACATTAAACAGTTTATTGATACTAATCTGAATTCGAATATTTTTACGCAACTGATCCATCATATTTGTGACGATTCTCAATTCAAATATCAAGGCGGAGATTGTGAGATCACATTCCACATTGCAGAATAATTCGACAGCACAGAATAAGTAAACAAATTACAAGTATTCGAGCAAACATCGACTAACCAGTAACACGTGTCAGACAGTCGCCCATACAAATAATAGATGTGATATAAATAGGAAACAACCACCAATTAATTTTCTCTGCCTCCTTATAGATGACGAGATGGATGTTGAAGTAAATAAACAGTCATTTATTTCATTTTCTCAAATTTCAGTTAACCATAGATTTCTATCACAAGCAATCAAATTGATAAGTGAGTAACCCTATTGAATCAAATTTGCTGACAATTGTTATACGAAACAATATTTGATGGAATAGTGCTGTATAAAGACGAAATATTGTGTGCTTGGATAATGGAAGTAAGCAAAATGACATTACAAACTACTATAGGTCAATTCATTAGATACAACATACGATTCCTGTTGAATTGAAATATCTATGTCAAAATAGTTACTTGACATACGATCTAGTGAAGAGTAGATTTTGATAAATGTTTACGATTCCAGTTCATACATGACTACATGGTGATTTTCTGTTCCATGGCTTCAGTGGGATCTACAACATATGTGACCATATGAATACATATATGTTGATCAAGATCTACTAGACCGTTTCACTTTTGTCAAATCGTTCATTTCAAATGTACACTTGTGTGACTTATCATACTTAATTTTCTCTGGTTAGCACTTCTTTTAGCGAGTTAGTTTTCTACGGGACGGGGTCGCTAAACCATGCCCAACCCTCCTCCCTTATCCGGGCTCGTGACCGGTAGTAGCCCCAGAGGGGCATCAGGTGGAGTTGTGTGATTTATCATATTACTAATTATTTATATATTTCCTTTTGAATTTTAGGTGATTATTCAAAGTAAATGAATTTGGATTTGGGAATGATGACCCGGACCTCACTCATGTTTCATTTATCTATATATTGTAACAATTAATTTACTGTCAAAATAACAAATCACAAATTTCTTCTTTCATTAACAATATTAACCGTCATTATTAATTAATTATTATTTGATCATGATCAAAACGTTGTTGCAATAAAGGATCGTAGGGTCTAAAGTTGAATGTCTATAAATCAGTGTTCATTTGCAATGAGAATTTGACTAGTGGTTGATGGAAATGAGAATAGTGTCCAGAACATGGTGAATAAAACTGATGGATGAAAAGCATTTCTGAAAATGACGACTGATTCCTATAAATCACCGTGTTAACTGCAATGTACTCATCTCATTCCACATTCTGCAACTAATATATCAAACTAGAGTAAATGTGTAAATATGAACAGGCCAGCTCCAAAAGCAGACGTAAAGGCGAGGACTGGCAAAGCAAGGACAGCATTCCTACAATTGAAGAATATATGGAACTCAAAACAACTTTCAACCAATATCAAAGTGAGAATCTTCAATACCAACGTCAAGACAGTCCTACTATACGGAGCTGAAACTTGGAGAACTACAACAATCACCATCACGAAGATGCAAGTATTTATAAATGGTTGTCTACGCAAGATACTCAACATCCATTGGCCGGATATCATCAGCAATAGCCTTCTGTGGGAGAGAACAAACCAACTTCCAGCTGAAGAGGAAATTAGGAAAAGACGATGGAAATGGATAGAACATACATTACGCAAATCATCAAACTACATCACGAGGCAAGCCCTAAATTGGAATCCTGAAGGGAAGCGGAAAAGAGGAAGGCCAAAGAACACATTACGTAGGAAAATAGAAGCAGATATGGAAAGGATGAATAAGAACTGGAAGGAGCTGGGAAGGATTGCCCAGGACAGGGTTTGATGGAGTATGCCGGTGAGTGGCCTATGTTCCTTCACGAGGAGTAACAGGCGTAGGTTATTAAGTAAGTGTCCTTTCACTATGAGTTTCTCCAAACTAGTCAATTACTAGAATTAAAACAAACATTCGACAAGTATCGAAATTAAAATTGGGACTCGAACACAGTACTGCTTACGCTAAATGACTAACACCTCATCCACTGCTATGTTCGAGGGATTAGTACCGGCTAATGCAACGAATGTCAGCAACACAACCAAGAAACGAGCCAAGATGTTCCATTGCACTGCAGACTGGCTAATTAAAGATAGAAGATCACATTCAGTCGGGAAAGCGTTTCTTCCACAAGCGATCCGAGAGAACGAACGAGCAAGCACTTAACTCACGCGTATATACGAAATACAAAAATGCCCATGAAAAACGTCACAAAATAGCATACTAGAAGTTGAACCAGTGACGTTCAAGGTCCTTTCAGATAGGAAACACAAACTGAATGTAAAAATGAGCGTTTTTGGCATGGAAATAGGAAATGAGAATTGGTTCATACGCCATTTGTTCCCTTAGGATTCTGGAGCCAGCCCTTGTGCACCATTTGTTTGGAATGATGGTTTCCCAACTCCCCTAAGTGGACTCTCCATGTCCACGGACCTGGTTAAAGCGCCGGACATTCGCTGTTCGTCCTCTCAATTTCGTAAACAACACCCCCGCCACGAGAAGGCAATCAGAGGCTATAAACACGTGGTTATGTGAGAGCATTTCGAGAGGGAGAGCGGACTCTACCCACTCTCAGCCGTACCAAGGCATTTGGGGGCCACTCTGGGAATGATCTTGTCATTCTAAATTTAAATCAGACGTGCTGATGAAGCGAATCAATACGGCTGTATCTTACTGATTAAGAGTTATAAATCTGTTCCGGAATCGGAATCATGAATAATGTAAATTACAGCTGATGGACGGTGTACAAATGAAGCATTTATTGTTTGGTTTCTAGAATTTACAAAGAACTTTGAACTGGAAAGTGAATTGGTTTCCCACACTTATTCTCCGTTCACTGCATGTTTAGTTATCATAGTGTGTAGTTCGTCTTGATGTGTAAAGAATTAAGTTATCTGATCGACAAGTTATTGTAGGACATGGGGAAATTTTCGATTTGGTTTTATAAGTAAGTAAATACAGACCGCTATAAATGAAAATTAACCCCGCCTGTAGCTCTTATAGGGTTACTGCCGGTCCCAAGCCCGGGTAAAGGAGGAGGGTTGGGCATGGGGTTAGCGTCTCCATCCCGTAGAAAACTAACTCGCTAAAAAAACGCTTACCAGAAAAATTAATCCAAACCATTTAAACTCTGCCCTGGGAGTTAGAAGGTTTTCAGTTAGAAGAATTATGACGCTTCATGGTGAAAGCCGAGTTCCTTCGGAAGCCGCGAGGCCGATGCCCCTTCTAACAACCAGAGCAAAAAATTTTATAGGTACATGGAACGTTCGAACAATGTGGGAAACCGGGAAGACCAGTCAAATAGCAATGGAAATGAGGATATACAACTTAGCAGTACTGGGAATCAGCGAAACCCACTGGACCCAAGCTGGACAGAAAAGGCTAGCTACGGGAGAGATGCTGCTATACTCCGGTCACGAAGAGGACAATGCTCTACACACTCAGGGAGTCGCTCTTATGCTGTCCAAAGTAGAACGAAATGCACTTGTAGGATGGGAATCTCACGGATCTAGAATCATCAAAGCATCATTCAAAACAAAGAAGGAGGGGATCTTAATGAATATTATCCAATGTTATGCACCCACAAATGATAGCAACGACGACATTAAAGATCAGTTCTACGAGAGGCTGCAGTCAATCATTGAGAAATGCCCAAGAAAGGACCTCACCATTCTAATGGGAGGTCTAAATGCCAAAGTCGGAATAGACAACACCGGATATGAAGATATTATGGGACGACATGGACTGGAAGAAAGAAACGAAAATGGAGAAAGATTTGCATGTGCATTCAACAAATTGGTCATAGGAGGCACAATATTTCCACACAAGCGTATACACAAGGCAACATGGATCTCACCGGACCACACTACAGAGAACCAAATAGATCATATTTGCATCAACAAAAAATTCAGAAGGACAATGGAAGATGTGAGAACCAGGAGAGGTGCTGACGTAGCTTCAGATCACCACCTAGTTGTGGCCAATTTAAAACTGAAGCTAAAAAAGAACTGGACGAGTGGACAAACAGCACTACAAAGGTTCAATACGGCAAACAAACAAGTGAAGAGGAGCATTAGAGCCGACAAGAAGAAATACGTGGAAGAACTATCAACGACGGCGGAAAAAGCTGCTAGAGAAGGAAATATGAAACAGCTTTACGATACAACGAAGAAACTATCAGGGAAATACAGTAAACCAGAGGGGCCGGTCAAAGACAAAGAAGGCAAGCCAATCACCAAAATTCAACAACAGCGGAACAGATGGGTAGAATACTTCGAGGAACTCCTGAATAGGCCGGCTCCAATGAATCCACCGGACATCGAAGCGGCACACACAGATCTTCCCATAGACGTCAACCCACCAACGGAGGAAGAAACCAGAATGGCCGTCAGACAAATCAAGAACGGGAAAGCAGCAGGACCCGACAACATACCAGCTGAAGCATTGAAATCAGACATCGAAGCAACCACAAGCATGTTTTATCTTCTATTCAAAAAGATTTGGGAGGAGGAACAAGTGCCGATGGACTGGAAAGAAGGACACCTCGTCAAGATTCCAAAGAAAGGAGATCTGAGCAAATGTGAAAACTACAGAGGCATCACACTACTCTCAGTTCCAGGGAAAGTCTTTAACAGTGTTGCTGAACCGGGTGAAAGACACAGTAGATGCCCAATTTCAAGATCAACAAGCTGGATTCCGTAAGGATCGGTCGTGCACAGACCAAATTGCAACACTACGGATCATCGTCGAACAATCAGTTGAGTGGAACTCATCACTATACATCAACTTCATTGATTATGAAAAAGCATTCGACAGTGTAGATAGGAGGACATTATGGAAACTTCTTCGATACTACGGAGTTCCTGAGTAGACTGTCAACATTATCCGGAACTCATACGACGGACTACAGTGCAAAGTCGTGCATGGAGGACAGCTGACAAATCCATTCCAAGTAAAGACCGGAGTAAGACAAAGCTGTTTACTCTCTCCCTTCATCTTTCTTCTGGTAGTCGACTGGATTATGAAGACCTCGACATCTGAAGGAAAACACGGAATACAATGGACAGCTCAGAATCAATTAGACGATTTGGACTTCGTAGATGACCTAGCACTCCTATCACGTACACACGAATAGATGCAGATGAAGACAGCCAGTGTAGTAGCAGTCTCTGCATCAGTAGGCCTCAGCATACACAAGAGAGAAACCAAGGTCCTCAAATTCAAAGCGGAAAACAACAATCTAATCACTCTTGATGGCGAAACTCTGGAAAATGTAGAGTCCTTCACATACCTAAGAAGCATCATCGATGAACAAGGAGGTTCAGATGCAGACGTAAAGGCGAGGACTGGCAAAGCAAGGACAGCATTCCTACAATTGAAGAATATATGGAACTCAAAACAACTTTCAACCAATATCAAAGTGAGAATCTTCAATACCAACGTCAAGACAGTCCTACTATACGGAGCTGAAACTTGGAGAACTACAACAATCACCATCACGAAGATGCAAGTATTTATAAATGGTTGTCTACGCAAGATACTCAACATCCATTGGCCGGATATCATCAGCAATAGCCTTCTGTGGGAGAGAACAAACCAACTTCCAGCTGAAGAGGAAATTAGGAAAAGACGATGGAAATGGATAGGACATACATTACGCAAATCGTCAAACTACATCACGAGGCAAGCCCTAAATTGGAATCCTGAAGGGAAGCGAAAAAGAGGAAGGCCAAAGAACACATTGCGTCGGATAATAGAAGCAGATATGAAAACGATGAATTACAACTGGACGGAGCTAGAAAGGATTGCCCAGGACAGGGTTGGATGGAGAATGCTGGTGAGCGGCCTATGCTCCTTCACAAGGAGTAACAGGCGTAAGTAAGTAAGTATAAATGAAAATTAGAATTGATTAAAGTTGATCACGTCAGGCGACAGGATGTTATTAGAATATATTCGTGTGTTCATATTATGGACAAGACAACATA